CAGTTAAAGTAATTAATTTTTGAAAAAACAAACATTTGATTGATAAAGGCCACAACAAGGCAGGGACACTAACATGACTTCAAAATTGTCTGGTTGACAAAACAGAAAACGAAATGCCATTCATTCCTTATAAATATTAATATTCGCGCCAGATCCCCCTTTTGGTTCCAATAAAAACACAGGAATCGTGACAGTCGTTAAAGATGTCGCGTTGTCAGTAACTCTCCGTGCCTGTTTCCGCCGGCGGCATTCTTAACCCATCAGGCGTCACCCTGCATCCATTTTGGGCCGCTGCCTATGAGTATTGTGAAGAAATGCCCCGCACTCAATCGATTCTGTGGTGGTGTAGGTGGTGTGCGATGTTTTGCCGACTGAGTTCATTCGAATTAGGGCTTTCACGTTTGCGTTGTGGGCGGATTTTAAATTAACCGGAAATTTGATATGTTTTTTAAAGCGTAACCGCCAAACGACTCCTGCAATGTTTCGTTTTTGAAACGCTTTCACGCTCTCAACATTCTTTTAATTAAAACGAAACCCCAGGGAACCCTATTACATACGTCCCTTCACCGCAAAATCTTCAGACTGCACAAATCAATACTGATACAACCCTTGCCTGCCATGCTCACTTCGCAATTGAACATTATTACATAAAAGCAAGAATGTTTATGAACTTCTCTTTTGTCACGAATGTGATTTATTAAATTACTGATTGAAGAAATGCAGCAACCTGTTGCTATACCGTATTTTTACTAAAACCATTCGCTTTTCGTTAATTTTTTTTAAAACAACACGCATACGTTCACAGAGTGTCGTGTGATTGTGACCATCAGAACTGACGAAAGTCAAAATACCAGCTATAGACCAATAAGTCTGCTGTCGGGATCCTCAAAAATCTTTGAACTTATTAATTTTATGAACGAGTGTTATTGTACGATCAAAAATATAGTGCATTTACTGCTTTGACGTTTCAAGTATTTTACAGTACCTTAACCGCAGACCATCGCAGGACCGTAGTAAAACAGATCCTAACAGATGTTTTATCTGCATTAAGTTGCTCTTACCTGAGATGAACCGTAACGAATATTTTTAGAAACTTGAAATTTTTATTTGAAACGTAAATGGACCGTTTTATGTTTGATTATTTATTTTAACATCAGGTGATATGTATCGTTCTTAAGACTTTAATCTAAATTGCAATATGTTCGTACGGAGGTATTTGAACGAGAGTAAATACTTAGTTATGTACATGATTCTCGAGCTTTGAGCTGTTAGAAGAAGACATAAACGACGCAGAATTTGAAGACCAAGTGGAGATGGTAGTCGAACCTAATGACAATTTGGAAGACAAGCTACCTCCGCAAATAAAAAAACGGACGAATGTTTACAATTTTATAAGAAATTCAGAAGGGGAAGTAGGAGCAGCAATAAAAACAAGTGACAGAATGTAATAAATTGTTACTTTGTACTAATTTTTTATGTACATGTATCAAGAATTGCTAGGCGAAAAAGATTGATAACATACTTATATCCCGCTTGTTAATGTCGGTAGATAAGTCCTGGAATGGTTACGGGTAATGGTCTGCTCGGCCGGGTGTTCTATAACGGACTGCGGTTTTAGAGTAATAAATAGTAGGCAAAGTTAATCTCGCGGTCGGTTGTAAAAGCACCAAGTATACCTACTTAATAAAAATCAATATGTTTTCTTAAATGGAAAATCGAGGCAAACCGGTATATACCAATTTTTACAAACACTTTTGAATCGCTTTGAAAAAGAGTAAGCAGCGGTTGGAATTTTCTTAGACCTATCCAAGGCCTATGATTGGCCAGACAGAGAGATACTATTAACAAAATTGTGTGAGTTAGTTATATCTATGCCAACGTGCTCAAATGGTTGAAGTGTACAAAAATGGACAGGGTGAAAAATCGAAACTTTGCTATAATCACCATGACGTAGCTCAGGCCCCATTGTTTGTTATATCCGTCAATGACATATATGCGGTTAAACAAAGTTCCAGATAAATAATAATGAACTATGCAGATGACACGAATATACTAATAAGCTCCTAAATTAATCTGAATCGTTATTTAGTAGCAAAATGAATAAGAAATTAATTCTTAAGAGAGACAACACAAATGTCGTATTCTTCAGAACTAAAAATAGAAAGAATAGGCAGCCTCAGAGTAGACAATGAAAACCTACTCATGTCGGAAAATACAAAATTTTTTGGGTTATATCTGAATGAATATCTGGACTGGTCTTTTCGTACATCTCAATTAATAATCAAATTAAATTCAATCTGCAATGGTATTAGGACGGTTGGTAGGTATATGAACGAAAAAACAGCAACGATATTATATTTTGCTAACATCAAATCAAGAATGAAATACGGAATAATAATTTTGGGAAAAAATAGTACTCTCATCTGTAGTTACTGTATTATAATGTTCAACTTCTTTAGACTTCTTATTTTAGTAATATTTTTTTTAAGCGTGTTGCTTTTACTTTACTGCAATTAAAAATACTCTAGTTTTGTTTTCAACATTGAACGGGTGTAAGGTAGAGCAATGATAAAAGAGCTTCCATAAATTTAGTGGTAAAATCCCTACTTTTATTGCACTTATAAGGATTTAAGTATCTTTTTTTGTTTCACAGGTCATACAGTGCATATGAATTCTTGTCAACTCTACAACAAAAAGATTTTTTAAGGTTTATTTCAATTTCAATTTCAAATTCAATCTGTACGTTATTTTGTAGACCGGTCAGAAAACCAGACAGATCTGTATAAATTAATGTAGAAAGAAACATGAAGAACTTTTGGATATGATTTATATAGACTAAACCATGGATTTTAATAGGTAAATTCAAATGGATTTTGAAGATTTTAAATAAACCTTATATAAAGAATCGATAAAAATATTCACATTTGGTGTGAATTAAAATGCTCGAGATTCGGGGCTGCCATTTTAATAGAGGATATTTTTTACCGAAATTGTGCAGGAAGTGTCAATAATTTTCGGAAACCTTAGGAAGATTGGAATTTTGTCAGAAAGTGTGGGTCTCGAGAATAGGTCCTCAACTTCTGCGAGAGTTGGATTTTACTTACTTGCAAATAAATTTCTGTACTTCCAAGTTCTTTAAAAAATTCCTTACTTCCTCGACGTTATTTCCCAAATTATAAGCGGCACAATCGGAGCATCTTCGTCTAGGAACCACCCCGCACAACACTTCCTCCCCCTTGGACCATTTACGGTCAAATTTGTAAACGTAGTCGACCCATTCCTCGACACTTTGTCGAATCTCTTTTAAATTTTTAAAATTTTTCTTGTCAATGATGGCATTGACGATGCCCCAAACACTGTCCCGAGGCATTGTTCCCACTTCAACTGGAAAAAACCCCTATCGAATGCTCGATTTGTGTAATTAAAAATCGGTCACAGCACGCGATGCGCTTAGTTTTGGTTATTGACTTAACTTGCACGAAGAGATCTAATTTTCACTGGCACTCACATATCAAAAACGCTGACAACAGTAACGGAAAAGGTACAACGAACTTTCCTTTATTCACTTTTCGCGTGAATATCGTAACAAACGAATTCTGAAAATTTATTAGCTATACGTCTTTGTACGTTATGATTAATGTAGAACCCGCATACAATACACACTTGGTTTTAGCAAGTTCATACACGTAGGGGACGGTCGACTGGCAAGGTTTGTTTAGTTCGGAAGCATTGATTTTGCTTCTCAATAATATTGTTTCCTTCGTTTGGTACTTAATTGTAACTGGAATGTATTCATACTTATAAAATTAGCTTTTAAACGGAAAATATTCCAGTTTTACCTTGATCAGAGGACAAATTAGATTTAGTATTTTTCAACATGGGTTGAGGGGCGTTGAATTCTTTGGGCAAAAGGTAATATTATTTCTTTAAGACTAATATTCTTAGAATCTTTAAATTTAATCATTCGACTTAATTTACCAAAAAATTTTCTTGTTCTTGTTCTTGCAAGAATAAACTACACTCGAACGTGTAACTGCATGCATAATTTAAAATGCTTGGTAATTCGATTCTATTACATCTAACTATTAATCTGATTGTTTTGCTACGCTTCTTAGAAATTGCATTATAAACACTTATGCTTCATTTTAATTTCTAACAATTTCATGGGTCTATTTTTAAACAACAAATTTTCAAACTTTTTAAAAAAGGAGAAAGTTAAAACTAATTTTTAATCGCAGCCAAATCCCTATCCAACTTTCTCCTTACGATCCAGTTTTCCATTCTTTACTTTTACCGTGATAGTAGGCAGTATTTTTGTAGTTTTATTAACTGGTTCACAGTTTCCTTCTTGAATTATAGGCAAGGAGTTGATGAAGTTTCTAATCGAACTTAGCGAACTGCTGTTACAAAAAGAGAGGATCGTAGGAAGTTTTTGATTTTGTATAAATATATAGGTTATATTTGGTAAGAAAATAATTTAGGTGTTGACATATGTGTGATTTTCTGTCGGTATCTGCTACGGTTTTATTTATTCATTTATTTATAAACAAGTCTTTCTTACAGACAGACGCAGCTGTCCAATAAAAGTAATAATACTTTGTCAGTGGACCAGCTAAATGTAATTAAGAACTAATTACAGCTTTTTATTCCAGTATGTTAATTGTTATACCGTCTTAAGTGTTGTTTAAAGGCTTCAAAGCTTGGAGAGTTAGAAGAGTAGTTTGAATGATATCAAGATACAGCGAACTTTTGCCCGTTTCGAAAAATGTAGGGATTACAATTTATAAAGAAATAATAAATCAAAATTTGTTCTACGATTCTCCAAAGACTACATACAATAGAAATGAAACTAAAAAAATATCTCTGTCCATTAAATCTATAATTTATAGCATTTAAAAATTCTCGTTGTATACTCTCCAGTCGTTCGATATATTTAAAATATATTGGATTTCAGACTGAAGTAGCATATTCCAACACGGGTCTGACAGGACTGTAAAAAAGTATTATTACAGATTTTTCATTATTAAACCTATCAGTCATTCATAAAATAAATCCAAGAGTCTTTAGAGCTATTTTGAAAAATGTTTCTTACGTGCATGTTAAAAAAAAAGCCCCGAATCCAATGTAATACCCAGGTCCTTTACAGAGCTCGAAAAGTTCAGTTTGTAGTTACCTAGGTAGAGATCAGGTGGTAATTTTTTTGCCTACATAACACAGTGACATTTCTCGGGATTAATAAGCGATCTGTTCATAGAACAATATTCTTCAAAATTTTAAAAATCTCTCTGCCACAATACGTTGCTCCCTATTGTCACTCACTGACTGAACAAAAAGTACCAAATTAGTTAAGATTTATCTTTTACGAAAAAAATCCGTGCTGATCGGGTCAATTTGCCCCTTAACAATAAAGAATAATTGCTCCAAAAGTGACTCAAACAACTTGCCGATCTGACTTAGGGAAGAGATCGGTCTGTAGTTAGCTACATTACTCATATCGCCGGATTTCAAAATGGGCACGACTCAAGTGATATCTCAGTTATTTTCCAATCAGATTTTGAGAAGCTATTTTACTAAAATTGTCAACAATAAGTTATCTAATGCTGCCTCTAACTCAACATTACTCTACACATTACTTTAAAGTTTAACAACAAAAAAATAAAAAATTGCAATTTTAAATTCTGGGGCGTTGTCTCATATTTTTGGATAAAAAAAATGAATTTTTATATTATTTTTACGTGAAAAAGGTTCTGTTACTAAAATTCGTTACCAGCATCCATGAAAAGTGAACAAATTGTAATAGGGAAAAAAAGAGCGGATACGCTAGTAAGTGCTAGTGCGTTCCAGTTCCTAGTCACTTTTCACCTTAAAAACATTTGAGAAATTAATCTACGAAATATTGGACACTTACTAAATATCATCCTGTATTAAACAATTGCCAGATTTATAAACGTAAGTCATTTAAATTTTATCGAAAGTTAATCTGTGAATATAAGTTAATAAACCAAACACGAAAAACACGAACCATCGTATCAAACTTTATCTTTCGGACATCGCACTACAGCCTGCTTATGCTTATGCAGAGTGTTAGATCGTCCTTAGAGTTCCCAAGAATCAATTATTTCTTTCCATATTTATACGTTCTAGAACACCAGACAACAACGAAGACAACAGCTGCGAACACAGTAGCACGACGAACAATACAACCAAACTGCGCATAAGCAGGTTACATCGAAGTATTGACGCTTCTGCGCCAACTCTGTTGCTTTGCACAGAAATCTAATATTATCCAGTATTGCCAAATCATTTTTAATTTCATAACAATCTATTCATTTAAAAATCATGCCTAACACGGAACAAAAATGACCCCCAAGAATATACAAATAAGCAAACATCAAAATCACTGTAGACCTGTGTCACCTTCCTATAACAAAGCACTGGGTGTTTTATGGATTAAAAAACTTATCATCATATTTTTTACCCAAATAAAGAAAACAAAAATGGCTTAGATGCGATCGAATATAATGAAAATGTTACAACTGAAGCCATCAAAACTGTTCCAACAGTACCTAACCACTGTATAAATATTTTATTGTTTTTATTCAACCCCAACTAAATCAAATAGCACTAAACACATCAACAACCTTCCCGCCCCAAGAGCATCAGTAGTGCAGCGTAAACTAACCTACCGTAAACATTAAAACTCAGTTTTAATCTTCTCCTGAAGATGCCAACTTGGTTGGCGAAACGCGCGTCGGGTACGTAAAATTGAATTTCGGTTTGTGGTAAAACGAGTTATTGTGTGTTAGTACAGTGCCGAAGGTTCCAGTCAAGAGTTTGCTACCGTAAACAGTTTAACAAATAGTCTGCCCTACCGTAATGTTCTTCAAAGCAGGGTCTTAAGTATTATTGGACGATATAAACTTTGATTCCATAAATGTACTTACGCATATTGAATACTTTCTTTTTGCCACCACTGTCGAAGCGTTTTTCTTAGGTGATCGGCGGCTGTTGTTTTCGCAGCTTGTGGAGTCCCCCTGGGGCGGGTTTTCTTTTGCGTTACTGGTTTTCGTGTTCCTACTGGTTCCTCGAACTGAACCATGTTGATATGCGCACTATAATTTGAATTCGAATGGTTTATGGTCCGGAACAACTGGAAACCGAAAATTTTGACGTTTTGTCAGCAATTGTTATATTGACTATTACATAAATCATTACCAAAACGTTGATATTTGGTTGCTGTCAGTCATTTTAGTCTAAAATGTACCACGCGATTTAAATTTAAAATACTGTTGTAAAACTTTCTTTTAAAATGTTAACATTAAATTTTTCTTTTTAAACTATATACAGTGATATCTACCACACATAAAATAAATGGTTAAATAGTTAACAGCTACAAAAAACTAAAAAAAATATATTTCTTTATATTATTTTAAGTATTTGGTATGAGTTATTTCTTTCATTGATTAATTAATATTATTTTTCTCAAACGTATTTTTTAAATATATATTTCGACTTGTTATTTTTTTAATATCTTTAATTTTTATAAATCCAAAGTAAACAACTATAACAGGTAAAACTAAAATAAAACTAAACTAAATAAAACTTTATAAACTACTATTTCTCTATAAACCGAACGTTACTTAGCTTAAAGTACACAACACAAGAAAACCGCCAGCAAAAAAAGAAACTATAGAGTACAGAGTTGAACGAATTCTTGATGGACGGCATCTGCGGGTTCCTCCAGATGTTTGACTGAAATAAAAAGTGAAAAAATATACATTTGCGATCATAAGTAAGACACGAAATGAAATCTACTGAAGCTGGAATAATAAATAACTTCTTACCGATGCTTTTCCGCTTTACTTTCAAATACCATCTTATCCTATCCTCCTCTTTAGCAGGGCCCCAGTCGTGACGAGGAGTGACTGACGCCTTTATCCGCTGAAATTTATATTTTACTTACAAGAAAGCAAGAAGAAAATTTATTACTAATAGTATCGGGTTCTTGTAACACATAAATACAAGGTGTTGTATTTTATACAGTTTTTAATTTTTATGTCCTGGATTTGTCGACACATTTAACTCAAACTAATAGCAAAACCGCATTATTTCCTTTAATATTGACAGTCTCAAAGTATATATAATTTATATTAAATCTTTCATTACTCTTTGTATATTGAGCGTTTCTGGAGTTACATCTGAATGGATTTCTTTATTTTTGACAGTAAATGTCTTACATCAAATAAATCGCCACTCTCGTTGTATAGCAAATGATAACCCATGTAAGCCGGTATCCATACGATCGAAGATAGGCAGGAAATCCACCCGATATCGATGGCCCATTGCGGAAATTCTCTGGCATTATAAGACGCCCTAGTGTTGTATTGCAGGAGAATTACAAACATAACCTAAAAATGATTGTAATCAAAATCAAAATAGGTACGTTTCCTTTCTGGATAGATAAAAATTTATATATCGAAGCAAGCAATATACCCGGGTGAAGTTAAGTGATTTTTTTCTTCCAAGAGGGCCATATCCCCTTTATGTCATTCTATTCTTCAATCTTCTAAAACAAATTCCCTATACCAACCACTGATTAAAACAATATTTAGTACTTTTGTTGTAAGTTATGAATAAGTTTTTTTCTACTATAATATACACTTAATTTATTCGAACTCTTATATTGTAAAAATTTCATCTGCTAAATTGGTGGGAAGATATTTTTTCTCTTGATGAATGTCGATAAATTTTTCAAAAAGGTCATTTCATTTGAAAAAAATGAAGATAGAATGACAGTTCACAAATGCATCAAATAAGAATCAGGTACAATAAAATATCTTTGCTAAGCGATGAAGCTTTTAGGACTCGGCATGATGGTCACTTATTACAAGCCTGGTTCTCGATCAATAACTTAATGACAGTGAGAAAAAGTTGTCGTATTTAAAAACTAATCAAGTTGACATACTTACACCCAAAATAAGCGGTGCAGTTATTTTCCAAGAGATTCTCCAAAACCAAGAGATTTTATCGTTTATCATAAATTCGATGTCACTAGCAAAATTCCGTACTCCGTAGATCCATCCAACGATGATGACTTCTACGAAGCAAATCAGCACCACGGAAATTGATGCCGAGTAATAATCCATAATAGTTAGCCAGTAAATTCCGCTCTGCAAAATAATGTGCATTAAGCAATGAATGATGATGATCTGAAATTGGTGAACAACATGTGTAATCAGTTCGTCTTCTAATAAAAAAAATGTTCGTAAAGAATTACTTAAACGCACTTTTCTTACATTGGTTGTATATATTGTCGAAAAGAGCCATAATACCGCAGAACTCAGCAGAATGATTCTGTTTTTGTGCACCCTTAATTTTGGATATGCATCGGTGATGCTGGTCACAATTGCTTCTATTGACACAAACTGTAAGTAAAATTATGAAGCAGTTTCTAAAAGAGTGCGCAATAGAAAAATATTTGTTAAAATGTCAACTGATGTTTCAAAAGTCATTCGTTGTATAAATTTCTGCGTGTTGCGAAAAGAATTTTTTTACACTTAATAAATTTGGAAACAAAATTGCATACTTGGTAACACTTGATAACAGTTAACATAAATTACATTAAGGAGAGAGGAGATTTTTTACAAGAATGACTTTTGTCACATAACCACTATTAATTAGTATATATTAAAAGCTCCACAAACTGCTGTAATATTTGGACACTTACGGCACTATCTAATCCGAGAAAAAACAACATTAGGAAAAACAAGATTGCCCACAAGTTAGGCCATGGCAGCATACTGATTGCTTCTGGATAGGTAACGTATACCAAACCGGGACCCCCGGTTGCTACAGAGGACAGCGGAAGGCCAGTCTGGTGGCTCATAAATCCTATTATTGAGAACACTACAAATCCTGCAAAGATGCTGGTGCCGCTGTTGCAGAGAGCAATCAGGATAGAATCTCTAAATAAGAAATCTTACTAAATGCCAATGTCAATGCCAATATGAACATATATAAAAGTGTAATAAATTGAATAGTCCAGAATTCCATATAATGCAGAGCGTAACTAAAATTTCGCCAAATTGAAATTTACCGATTTGGGTGCTAGCCAAAAATATGCCAAACAATTTTGGAAATCTATTGTTGGTAGTACGTTTAACAGAGTAAAATTCTGGCTCTTGCAAATAGCGAAAGTATAAAATTGAGAATGAAATGTTCGCTTTTACGTACGCTTTATTGTTGTTGTTAAAGTTATTGTAACTTGCCATGTTCACTATTCCACCCCATCCAGGTCCCAGAGAAAAAAATATTTGTACGGCTGCATCACACCATATCTGAAACCATATCATATCTTTAATATCTAATAAGCAAATGTAGTTAACTAAATTCGAGACCTTTTTAAATTTTAGTTTGTTGCTGGTTAGTTCCTGTCACATTATTTTAGACTTTGTAAGATTTACAAAAGCCTTGCCTATTTCTTAGGATTGATTCAGATGAATTTCTGATGTGGGGGAGTTTAGTTTGTTTTGAGAGCATATTTTGTGTAGGGTAAAGTGTATGCCAACTCACAGGCGCAATTTTAATGGAGTTTGACTTTTTTTCTCTCAACAGCAAACTGCATTCAAAATAATAATCTGATAAATTAAATTTATTTTTTTGTTAAATAGGTATGTCAAAAATCTAGTTTTGTTACTATTTGAAAAATAAAAGCCTGAAATACAACAACATATATATCTATGCAAATATGCTCAATTTTCTTCAAATTATATAGTGCGCTGGATGCGACTATATCTCGGAAGCGGCCTTAGCAAAATTATTACTAAGGTGGATATAAAAAATTCACCGAAAATATATTTTAGTAAGTATTGTAAGTGCTGTCATACCTGGTCGAGACTTTAGCACGTCTAAACCGATTTTAATAATTAAAAAATATTTTTGGTGAGTTCTTCATACGCACTAGTATTCTTTTTTCCTGAACTCGTAACCTTCCCATCCGATACAATGGTTTTAATTATAAGCGAAAATCCAATTAACTGTTTAAAAACATAATCACTCATACAGCATTCAAGCAAAGTTTGGTGTTAAATTGTGGGAGCGAAGATCTTTTCATCGGCTGATTGCAGATTAATCCGAGCAAAACGCATTAACGTACTGGCTGACGTAAGTTTTCAACGTTTAATAGATCATGAGCAACTATTTCGAGTTGCGGGTGTTAAATTTTACATACCGTGAATAATCTGTTGGTAAAGGCTGATTATTATAGTCGATTATGCAACAAATATGGTAAACGGTATTTAAGTCACGGGTTTATTTGGCAAAGCAGAGTGAACAAAAATTGCAGCTCCGGTATTCAAGCCTCCAATCAAAAATATTTTTATATTATGTTTTTTGAAAATACTGTTTTTTATAACTGAGAAATTAATTTACACTTGAAAAATTCGGAATGCGTCATCCCAAAAAGCCAAGAAGAAGAAGGGGAAGTTTTCAGAGATTGCACAAAGATGTTCCATCAACCTGTGGACTTGTTGCAAGAGTTTGAAGGAATAGATGCCCGTCACAATCCATTTACTCTGATATTCATATACCATTCTGTCAGTAGGAGTACAGATTTCGAGAGTCTTATTTTTTAGTTTCTTGCTGAAGTGCAAGTTGACACGAAATAGACTCATTTACAAAAACTTACTTGTAGTATGGAACATAATTTTTGAGAAAGCCCATGAATTATTCATCTATTTCCGTAGGAGACAAAAGTTATGAATACTAGGAAACTCTATACTTTAAATTTCCCACAGGCTTTATGCACTCAAACCGCCAACAACTACGGATGAGGTATGCATCATACATCCCATATATCTAGCCAAAGTACATAAATCGATAAGAATATTTTCCATACTTGCGACCTACTTTCATACATTTTTTCTATGGAATATTAAAAAATATTTGTTCTTAGTTGATTTATGGAAAAAACTTTTTTTATTTTTATACGAAAATATTAAACCGCACCTCACAATACTATACTGCTGGAATATAAAGCTCTAACTCTGGACGTTAGGTAGGAACACGCTGTTGTCAAGTTTGATTGTTTCCGCTTCCCGCTTTCCGAATTTTCATCCGTTTCCTTTGTAGTTACAGCCTATATTTCGTGAGTTCCTTAGATTTTCAAAACGCTACGTTTTTGCCGGGAAGACCTATCATTGTTTTATTTTTATTATCATTATTATTATTATTACCATCATTATTACAGCAAAGCTTTCGAAAATTTTATTTGTAGTTTTCGTTTTATAACAGAATGGCAAAAGAGCAAGAGACACGCTATACATGCGTATTTAAGAACGTCACTAAAGAGGATGTATTTAATTTCACTAAGTAGTCCTTTTGGCAAAGTGGAATGAAAATCCGTCAATATTTATTTTTCGCATTTCTCAGATAAAAGAAAACATGTTTTTTCGTTTACCTTAAAATTGGTTAATTGGTCCCACTGCGGATAAATATAAAAATAAATTCCGTCCCACGCTCCAGGTAAAGTTACTCCTCTGACGAGCAATACGAAAAGTATTACAAATGGAAAAGTCGCGGAAAAATACACCGCTTTGCCCACACTTTTTATCCCCCTACTCAGACACAGGTATGTTGCTATCCAGCCTAGTAAATTGCAACCGAAGAGTGGCCAAACCACGCTTCCTAATTCGTCTATCGATTCGGACACGTGTAGTACCTCGTTGCTGAAAAAAATATCCAGTTTCAATTATTTAAAAGTTATGTGGGTAGAGACCGTACTTAAAAAATTCATCTGCGGATGTTTTCAGCATTGTAATGACGACGCTACTGTTTGGTGATACGATAGATTCATCTTCATTTCTGGCATGAAGCTAGAATGTGTATTATAACCTTAATAAAAAACAATAATCTTAAACTATGATTAAGGAACCATCTTTCTTACCTTAACGCACGCCTCTGTGTTCCACCTATTGTTGCACTCTGTCCAAGGCAATGTCGAATTGAAGGAGTAAAAGAGAAAAAGCAGCGGATAAGAGTATAACGTAACAAAATAAGTTGTTACTACAAGATTTACCACCACCACTGCAATCCCAGCTCCTGTAAAGAACAAAGTATGCGTGATGAGTAACAACTAGTGATATAAAACCTTCACAGTTCAAAAATTAGTCATGAAAAAAGTACGCAATATAAATAATTTAAAATTTTTTATTTAAAATTTTAGTTGACTTGGTTCTTAACTTAACAGTTGGAATATGGTTGGTTTGTGTGCTGTATTTATTTATAAGATGGTTTTTTTCGCTATCACTTATATTTGTTATGATAAATATATTCTTTAGTTATAAATAGAGAAAATACTGTTAATATTAAAAATAAAGTAGACAACAAAAATCAAACATTGATAAGCTGTTTTGGCCGTTTAAACAATAAAGAACTTCAAAGAAAAAACTAAAATACATAGAAATGTTACTTCAAAAGTAGATAAAAAACAGAAGTCTTTGCTTCGGCTGACTTTTATTTTTATTGTAAATGTAAAAGCACTTGCTTTGTCGCCCAACACAAAGTATTTACAGGGGACAAAACCTTTCTTTTTTTTTTTTCAAAGAAACTTCCACAGGCTACCGTAATTATTTTTGCGTCGGTTTTTGCTGAGTCGATTCCAGAAGTTTTGCTTAGACTAAACTGGAGATTAAATTTATTAAAGAAATAAATCCATATTTTTCTTGAAGAAACTGTTAACCTTATTTAAAAAGGAACCAACAATTATGAAGAATTTGTTCCTCTGGGGAATAAAACAGTTTTTAGATTGTATAAATATAATCAAAATTATCTCTAATGTTGAAACTTTGTCTAAAAAATCCTACATCCGGCAACAAGACAATCCTATTTGAGCTCAGATAATGGACTATCTAAAGTTAAGGATAGAAGTTGCGAAGCGAACAGGATTTCGCACTGTCAAGTCTCAATTGCCAATAAAACTTTTCGGTGTTCATAGTGGGAGAGGTTAATGATCTCATGAAAAAGATGGAGCAACATCCTCGCAACCCACGTATCAGACGAATAGATGTGTTTGTTTGATTTACTCCGGCTTGATTAAATTTCTCACGATATTTGATGGGTCAGAATTTAATAGCCATTTTGTTTTTAATCTTTTAGTATCCATAATAATTTTTAAAAAATGTCACTGAAGTTATATAGGTCTGTCAATTACTGGTAATTGCTGGTAGTAGGAGTCAGAGTTCGAGTTATTCGTTTGGCGCACTACACCTAGCATCTCATGTCAATTATCTTTGTTTTTTCATGGCACACATTATTTATTCATCTTCGTTGGCACGGAGACTGACACTTGGACTAAAATATTACCGAAAATTTCATATATATCGCAGTAAAATATTACATTACATTATCAATTTAAGGAAATAATACAATACAATTAAAATTATAATTCTACAGCACCGATGATATAAATAAGCAGCAATGTTATGAACGACTTTTGAAAACTGCATGAATACCGAATTTCTGGTGCAAGTCCAACAGAACAGAAGACATAAACAGAAAACATATTGAAAAAAATTGCGTTTGGCTTCTAAGTCTCAAATCGGCCAGCAAACTAAAATTTCTAAACTAAGGATATTTATAAAATGGACTTGTCTGATTTTGAACGATTCATATATTTCGTAAAATAGGAGGACCCTCAAGATTAGTTTCCATGATACGGGGTTTTTGATATTAACAAAAATGTCTTTTTTAAAATATGTTAAATATTTTTATGTTTCCGTTTACGTTTTGCGAACGCTAATTTTGTTTAACTAGATTCAAATTGTGAAGTCCCGAGAAGCCACTGACTTTATTGTAATTTTGCCAAAAAATAAAGACCAAGAAAATTGAAAAAACGTATGTCTAAACATATATGTACGGACACACCTTGAATATCGAATCCAATCGATAAAATGTTAAAAGCGTACTCTAAATCTGTTCAGTTGACATTTTATTTATAAATTGGCGATGTCTGGCTTTACATGTACGCTCTGCATTAAGAACTCAACGCACATGTTAAAATTACTCAATTATTAATCGCCTATGTGCGATCGACGACGTCACACCGTTTGCACGCACATTTACTGACCACTGCCGCCATCTGTCTACGTATACCATTCGGGCTTTTGCATATATGAAAATATAGATTTCTACAAAGCAATGACAGACAATCATGACTATAATACCAGACAAACCGACTTGATTGCCGTTCCTTACTTTAGACTGACATTCCCACGGGTTAATACAATCGATGTAAAATTATATAAAGTTTTTTCTGGTTACTTTTGAAAATCTACTGTACATTTAATTTAAAAATAAAAAGGAAAGTTATTTTATTCGGAATGCCTTTTGTAACAGTAATGAATACTTTAAGCATACAACTCTTGAATAGAACTTATAGATTTGCCATTGCAGGCTAATGATTTGATTAGTGTCTGCTACTTATCATATTTTTGCTTTTTTTTAATTTATTTTATTACTAATTTTATTGATTGATTCAATTTTATACATACTTAAAGTGACATACGATGAATAACATAACTTTCAGTATAGCTTCAAGCAATTCAAGTTCAGATCAGATACCATAACTTTGAATTAATAAAACAAGAGTTTAAATCAATTTGCAGTAAGTGAAAAAAACCAAATTGAAATTAACCAAAACTCCGTTGCGATAATGAAATGTATACCTCATTATTTTAATTTCGTCGCATTTGTGAATGTAAAATGTAAAACGTTGTTTAATTGAACTATTTTATTTTCTTATCACCATCCTATTATTACCAATATTATCGACAACACTTTTAACCAAGGGAACCTTATTCATGTGCGAATAGAATATGGTTTTTGTAGTTTTAATTTTTAATGCTTAAACCTTTTTGGGTCTCTTTTCAACATAATTTTATAAGCTTATTACTTAATAAGCATCAATTCATTAATTATATATAGATGAGTGACTCCGTTCTAACTGTTTCGCTTCAAATTTCTAAGATTCTAAAACTAGACTTTTCTAATCTTTTTATGCATATTATTCGCCTATTTTACTGCAAAAATAAAAGCCTCAAAGGATTTTACTGCAACTTCAAAATGTCAAAAACGAGAGACAAATTTCAAATTTTCCTTTCCAGGGTACTGACTCATTTATCCACGGTACTGACATAAGATGAATTTAAGTTCTAAAATCATCTAAACCTTTTGCACTCCAAGTTTGTAAACAGTACTCAGATGACGTAATTTCAACATGATTCACTAGACATTTCATAAATCTCAAGGTAGATGGCGCTCCAGTCATTCAATTCCAAATTTCAATTCAAATTCAAAAATTCGTTAAATTTTCAAGACAAAAGTTCTTGAACCGGAATTCAATGTTAATTTAAAACACTAACCAAAAAATTGTCATTTTTTTTAGTTTGATCGTAGAAATAAAAATTTATGAGGTAATTAGTTTAAATCATTTATTGCGACCGAAAAATTGACATTGACATGACACGGTACTGACATTTAACTGATATATTGTTGATTCTCTCTGAGTGACAAATTATATTATATAAAAAATATGATGAAATATGTTTAAAAACATTAATAACATAACATAACATAAAACAAAAAATGTCATCACTAGATCACTAATTAATCACCAGTGAGAACAAACAATGCAAGACTAACCAAAACTAACCGAAACTAGCAATTTGAAAATTTTGAAGTGCACCAAAAGGAATTTGATTTTTAGCCTATACTTCAAGCAGTCAAATAAAAACTAACCTTTGAAAAGAGGCGATATCCTAAATATGGTTATACATCCAGTGTTTGAAAACTGTCCCAAGCTGCTCTCCATGAAAAATAATGGCACTCCGCAGAAAAATAACATTATAAGGTAGGGAACCAAAAATGCCCCTGAAAACACTAATTCAAAGGGAAATATGAAAATCGCGTAGTAACTACCTCCTCCACTCCTATAACACAGATATGGAAACCTCCAAACGTTCCCGATTCCGATACAGTAACCCAGTGCTGACAATATATACTCGGTTTTATTGGCCCATTGTTCACGATCAGCGTTTTGCTTTTGAGATTCATTTTTAATCCCATTGATCTCTTCAGATTCTTTCATAACGCACGGTACACTTTCACTATCATAGTGGATCGCCGGATAACAACATGAGGAGCCATTCCGTCTCTTAAAGGAATTTGTAGGGCATCGATTCTCAAACTTTCCAAGAAAATATCCCAAGTCACTATGTTTACAAATGATGCCGAAATATGATCCCCACTTTCATTTTTGATCGCTTCATGTTAGTAGCATTGTGAAGTTGTTAAGAAATCTTCATTTTATTCGGTTGCGTGCAAGATTGAAAGTTAGATAGAGTGCGAGAATCGGCACCCTGTTACTATTTCGGTGGGTCCTAACAACATAAGTAGAAGATAAATAAATAATTGTATTACTTTATTGTTTATTAGAGGGACAAAGTAATATTTGTTTTGAGAAAGATTTCAATTAAATAATGTGATTTAATTTAATTCCTCGAAGAAGAAAAATATAAGTGTTTTTGTTGTTATGCGGGCAAGGTTTATCAGCGTGTATTGTACTTCAAATTGAAGGTTAAAGCAATTATCAGGGTTACAAGAATTTGCAATGCAATTTGTGAAGGGTTATTTACTTTCCGTTCCCCTATGAACTACTATTTCGTACGGATATCTTTTGTTACCGAAGTTTTGGGCCCAACGAAATATAATCTGCTTCGTTATTATCTTTTTACTTTTGAAATAATACATTTGAAAGTATAAATAATTCAAAAGTCTGTAAAACATTTTTGAGAAAAAATGAAAAATCTAAAGGTCAGTTATTCAGTCCCTTAGCCAGGCTTGAAATTTCTGCAAGTGGTGGGGGCTGTTCGAAGATTAAAATGGTTAGTTTTCAACAATTGATTAGTTTTGGTAAGTCAACTGAACCTGAAAAGCTGAAAAACTAAGTAACAACATTTAATTTATCAAAAACCTGCAAGGATATTAAAACCTAGTAATTGTGAAAACAATAAAAGATAAATAATTTTATAACAACCCGTGAAGCGAAAATTTTTCCCAAAATCCAGTTTTTTTTTAAACATAAATTTTTTAAATCATTTTAAGTCGGAATAGAGATATTGAGATGTGGTTTTTACTTGGTTGTAGCATCCTTATTTGGCAATCTAATGACATAAAAAGTCACATCGTTGGATATTTTCTTTATTCAGAAAATTATTAATTTTTGCGATTATGTCACCTGTTGGCAAGGTAATCAATCGCAATCACCAAACTCATTCATAGCATGATTGATGACCAAGGAAAAGACCATTCTATAGACTCCAAGTTTATTAAAATAGGTCAAGCCCAATCTGTGATATGGGGATGATATAACAATTCTTACAATGAACATTGAAGATTTGCAAATTTTAGCAAATACCATCAACCGAGCTGGGAAAATAACATACTATGCACATGAGTAAAATCGAACTAATAGTTACTAGCCGACAAACCCATGAAAACGTTCAATGGTAGCCAATTTTACTATTCGAAACAGAAACGTGGATGCAGAGGATGCTACTGTAATGAACTTTATTGAAGAAGAAGAAGAAGACTAACTATACATTTTGTTGTTACTTAGAGCGAATCAACATATAAAATTTAGTTTAGGTAACTTTTATAACTAAAAATATTAATTAAAGACAAAAAAAAAGTTTCAAAATTAAGTTATAAAAAATTATATTTTGCTGGGGGGCACACATTAATTTATACGGGAGAGTATTAAATAATTATTGAAATGCAAAAGTTCGAGGTCTTTGCAGTACGGGGTGACCAATACAACACAACCCTTATCACAGAATATACAGGGTGCATGAAAGAAACCTTAAATACAAAAGTCATCTGGTTTGAAACAAAGTTTTGTTTTATTATATTTTTGCATTGTGCAGGGCACTCAGTGTTGCTTGGGAAAATAAAACTTCTGTTTATTTAAATGGAACATCCTGTATATTATTACATTTTGGATTCTTCAAGTTTCTAAAAAAACTACTGAACTGTAATAAATGAGGATTAAAAGACTTCCATAAAAAGAATAATATACTCGTTTTACTGATCTTGGACAAAATATTGTTTAAAATGAAAACGGATTATTTCATTCCACCCGTGCGTAAGAACAAATTAGGGAAAACTTTGAAGGAAATCAACTTTTGTGACGAACAAGCGTAAACCAGGAGTTTCGAAGGGAAAATATGAATTATCTGCACGAAACCCGTTAAATTATTTTCTATTTTCATATTATTTTTACTTCTATATGAATTTTATTTTACTTGATCTTGGAATGATTTTTATCGCAGATATCTATATATAATTATATAATTACTATTGTATATTATATTAATTTCAGTCGTAAACTCATTCTGTTGCACGCGAATTAGTGTGACTAATTTAAAATCAATTGGACGTGTGTAGGTCTTAAAAACTGAAATACGGAAACTCTAATTGCAATTTATCTGAACTTTACAATATAACTTGTTTAATGATCCCCGTCATTGCAAATATATATTTTATTATTACTCTCTCGCATTAAAAAACTAGATATACTAAATTAATTTTAAATTAAAAAAAAGAAATCTAATTAAGAGTAAAATTCAAATGCATAAGAAAATTTACACAAAGGCTCTTCTTGAAAACCACCAAGAACTACAATTTTGGAGTCAGTATATTTTTCTACTCCATTTCCATTCCTCTATAATTAGTTTTCTCGACATTGTCCAGCACGATAAAAAATAGTGTAGACTGGATTTAATTTCGACATTGTAGGGTGAAAAACACGTGCCTAGTTGGGCACTATATTCCAGGTAAGGGTTTCTATATTTATTTGATATCGTTTCTAACAAAAAGCTAACATTGTTATTCCTCGAATTCATGTAGGTTTATTTATAACCAATCTACCTCACTAATAGGCATAAACTTGGTAAAAACCTATCGGCTCTGCGAAGTTGCGGCGATATTATAAAAAAAATACTTTTAACAGATAATATATATCAACGTTTAGTAATAAAAACCACAACGAGTGTGCTTATATATAGTTCCATGCATTTCCTAGTCTTTACATTGTCGACGACTAAACAATGGTAAGCACTTCAGCTCACAACATATATTTTTTATTAAAAATTTACCTTGTTTTTATCCAGATGAAGAATATTGGGCTAGTTTTCTGGACAATCGTAGCAGGCGTAACATGTCAAAATGCTCTTGAGGAATTTAAACAAGGAAATATTAAGTTTTCGGCTCGACTATATAAGGTACGCAAAACAATCAGAGTATTAAAGTTTTAATGTAGAAATATTAGTAACAATAATAATTTAAGAAACATACAAATATCAGAATTGTTACAATAAACCAGTGTAGTAATGTTCTATTTAGAAAAAATATACTATCAAACTACTTCAGGGTTTTAAAATATATAGAAAATTAAAAAATAATATTTCGTAATTAACATCTGTTGCCTTTTTCATTAAATGCCGAAGAGAAAAACGTTGTTCGAAATCCACCGAAAATTTTTTTTGTTTCTGACAAACTTTGTAACTACCTTTATCACCATTACTCCGATATCCTGTTTTTTTAAAATATTGGGCGTATGCTTAATGCAAAAAATTACTAAACTCAAAATAATTTTATAATAATTATTGGAACATCGAAACATAATTCTTTTTAACTTGACTACTGACGTAGATAAATGGCAGCTGATATAATTTCCAATTTATATTACCACAGTACAGGACCACATTACTCTATTTTTGAGCTTACATACTTCAGACTCATTCACTGTGAAACAGCGTTTTTATTTAATTCGAAAGAAATGCCTCTATTTCTTAGGAAGTTCTCAAGGAGAACAAGAACTTCATTATCAGCCCCTTCTCAATAGAGGTGATCTTGGGATTGACTCAGGCCGGGGCAGTAGGACGAACATTCAACGAATTCACTTCAAGTTTAAATTTACCGTCAACGCAAAATAAAACGCAGGAAGCTTTGAAAGAATTCCTGCCCTCCCTTCAGCACAATTCGGACAATCTCACATTAACGACCGCTAATAAATTGTACCTCGGGAAGAATTTAAGCATTAACAAAAATTTTGAGAACATCGCTAAGTCGATTTATCACGCGGGCGCACAAAATGTCGACTTCGCAAATGCTGAAAAGGCGGCAAAAATAATCAACGATTGGGTAGAACAGCAGACCAAGAATAAGATACAAAATTTGATTGATCCCAAGCTACTCAACGAGTTTACCAGATTAGTTCTGGTAAATACGCTCTATTTTAGCGGTAAGTATTAATGTTGTTTTCACAAATTCACGTAGTTTAAAACCGGCACATTACTGAGTATTCCCAGTTTGGTAGGACATCTTGAATGATTTTCGAACTACTCAAATGACTAGTAAATGTTTTAAAAGTTTATAAAAGTAATTGGCACTTACGAATGCATTTTCAACGTATTTATGTACTATGCATAAAAACTATATGTATCTAATAACATCTAATCTATTAACTAACTAAATGAATTAATGCTTATGGACTCCAACGACCATTTAAATGCGTCAAATATATTTCAAAGTTATGCAAAATTTTAGCACTAACTAAAATAATAAACACTAACGAAAAAACATGACACAATACAGTTAAATTTGTAGTTATAATCTATGAAATAGTTTGAAGACAAATTGGGGTTAGTGGGTCAAATTGTAAACCTCTCATGCGACACTCACATGCTTCAAGCTGCTTAAATGAATAAATAGATACCTATACTCAAATAATAAAATAACAGTTTAGAAAACTGCGGAACCTAATTTATAAAGTTTGTTTTTAAATATAGAATATTGATTGGTCTTGTGAAAGACTAATCAATACATTTGTGTTCTTATAGAAAGTACGTTGTTAGGTAAGTTTTGGAAATTTTATTGTTTTTCTGGAATAAATAGTTGAATTCATGCAAGTTTTCGTTGTTTTTGGGCCTGATCCTTCATCCATCATTTTGTGCTTCGATAAAAAAAAATTAAATAAAGCAAAAACCTTTCTCTATAGTCGATGCTTGATGTAAAATTACAATTTTGTTTACATTGACATGTTACAATCACGTAACTATAATTTACAAAGCCCTATGAAAATTTCAATGCTTTTTTTTAATTACAAATTTAATTTTACAATGTATTTAATTTAAATTACTGTGAATATGACATATTGGATTGATATGAATAATCTATTTCTGGTTATGTAATTTCGCAAAATATTTTATCCGGAGTGTATTTACACACAAGTTTTTTAATTTTTTGGCGATTCCGTTGAAATCTAACAGCGCCCCCTAGGTAATAAACCAAACACTAGGTAAATAATAGTTCTTTTTATTAATTTTTCTACTCTCTTCTGTAAAAAACCTAATTATACACGGATGTACCATGCGGAAAGCCCCACTTTACCACGCGAGTTTCTTGTTTACCGCACATGTTTTATAATATACTATTACCGCACTTTTTGCATATACTATATATATTATTAAACTAACTTAATGCTTGGTTAGTGTATTAGTCCAAAACGACCGGTCAATAACAATTGGAACTTCGATCTTAGTTAGTCTAGTTAGCATTAACTATCCACCTTCAGCATTTTCAAAGCAGTTACGAACCTTACTCTTAACATTTTTCACTATTGATTATTTATAAAGTAGTATATATAAAGCGTTGTACGTTTCTGTTCTAGGTTAAGATATACAATTTCTGCAAGTGTAGATGTTGTCAAATTTCGTTAAATTATCATTAGTACTATAAAAATTGGGCAGATTGTTAGGCGACATGAATCCACATGAGCCAAATGTTTTAAGAGTGGAGTTAACTAAAGAGTCTTTACCTCACTTAATCATCTATAGCGGACAGTAAAATTAGGCACGTTTAGAGATTTCAAAAACATATCTATTTCAGGAACTTGGACTTTTCCTTTTGAAAAAAGGCTGACCCGTAAAGGCAAATTTTATTCCGGCAACAATTCTACTGACGTTGAATTGATGCATTTGGTGGAGCGCTTCGGGTATTACGACGATCGAGAACACAAGGCCCAATTTTTGGAATTAAAATTCCGTGGAGGTAACGTTAGCTTGACGGTGATCTTGCCTCACGAACGGAACGGATTGACTGCGGTAGAACAGAACGTGGAAGATCTGCTCAAACCTCGACCGCTGCAAACTGAAAGAGTGGCCGTAACGTTGCCTAAATTCACGACGAGCAGTTCATTTGCACTTAAGCCAATTTTGCAAAATGTGAGTAACTCAATCGCAACAAAACGGGATATTACAAAAACTTTCTCTTCCTAGTTGGGACTCAAAATTGCATTCACCAAACAGGCCAATTTTTCGGAATTATCTCAGGAACCTCTCTATATCGATACGGTTATTCAGAAGGCATTCGTTAATGTTTCGGAAAGCGGCGTCGAGGCGGCTGCGGCAACAGCAGGTTTGAATTTTTGTGACCGTGGTCTAAGGTCAAAGATACAAATAGACAATACAGAGAATGTTTGAGAAATTTGATTGATTCTGATTGACTTTGTTCTTTTCTAAAACTCGACATCAGTATATACATTTCGGAATAACGGCAGATGAATCAGATAGCTGGAAAATATATTTTGCAGATAAACAAATTCAAGAAATGTAAATGTAAAATGCAAAAAATCATTAAAACACATCGACGAAACATGGTTTGATACTTATACAAAATAGATCAAGTTTTACAATTGAGCATCAAACTAAAGCTTCGTTTAATAAATGATTATTATCGTAATGCAGATGCAAGTATTCCAAGAAATTGTATTTAGTTAAGGATGTCAAATATATTAAAGAAAACAAATAATATTGGTAGTCTTGTTGGGATTTTGATTCTTCTGGTATGACTTGGAACGCAATTATTAAGAGAGCAACAAACCTTTAGGTTTCCAATTTTAATCACAATCAAAAATCGCAACTTACTAACTTACTTGGGGCTAAGAGTGTCATTTAAGTTTTATTGCATATAAAAAATAAACGAAAGTTTCCGAAGCTGATACTCATAGGTTTGTATGAAATGAATTCCATCTTTGCAGAATATGAACTATTGATTTCCTTTCGAGTGTTACACCGCAGAGGGAAAAGTGTATACCGAAAGTATTTTAATGACTTAATTCTTTGCGCGGTTTACCCCTAAGTTGCCTTTCTACTATGGGCACAGGTAATATGCCCATAGTGACTTACATCAATTTTCAAACAACCTGTATTGAAACTACTTGGTAGTTATCATTAGGATTAAAAAAATATTTCTCTTTAACCTTAGGCTATTTCTTATATATTAAAAATAATCGTTTACATTAGTGACAGGTTTTTCAAAATTTGATGTATACTCCGTTTTATTAGAATAGTTATTGTGACGTTATCATTTCCTGCGCGAAGATGTTTATTTGGATCCCTCTGGGGTCTCTTTTGTTTTCTGCAGTTTATAATAAATATAGATCTGACAGGCTTATAATAATATTAATAATAACGGATTTTAGTGCGCAACAGTATTCAACAGTTGCATACGTACTTGCATTAAAAAATAGAACAGAACAAAATAACGAGGACGGGTAGCGATGAGGTCACATTACCTACTTTTTTCTAATAAAATATTCATCAGATCATACGAGGGCGCTTGGTCCAGTCATTGGAAAATAAAATCATAATTCTAAATTGCTAACACGAGCAGAAAAAAACTTTTTTGCCAACGTACATATGGAAATCACGTTTATTTGCATTTTTTATTTTTCAGTTCTAATAACTCCTGATTCGATACTTCCTTCTCCATTCATTTCGGAAGTTACTGTCGACCATCCCTTTCTCTACTTCATCAGATATAATCGACTAATTTTATTTCTGGGACGTACTTTATAATACTTTATATAAGTTCAGAAGTTGATGCATGTATTAAAGTCAGTTAAATCCGATATTATAGTTTGATGAAAAAGGTTTATTAAAAATCCAAAAGTTGTTCGAGATTTTTAATGAGGCTAATGATAAAACATATCCAAAAATTGGTGTTCCGCTTAATTCAAGACTTTTTTGAACCTCTTAGGAAAATCACTTATCAATACGTGAGCTAAGATAAGGGTAAACATTTGAAAGCTGTTTGTTCCTCCTGAGACTAGTATAATCGAAAGCATTGAATAAATTATTTTTGATATTTTTCAGCTATAGCACCATGGCTTTCGCCACCACCGCCATCAATAACGTTTAATTGTGACCACCCCTTCCTCTTTATAATTAAATACAACCATGTTGTGTTATTTTCTAGTTTCTAAACAGCCTTCAATTGGGTATATTGAGTGAGTTATAGCCTTTGAAACTCAAAAAATACACATTCGTTTCAGGTATAAGTTTTGGTTAATTAAATCAAAGGTCCTTATTCATCACTATTCAATTAATAGTTATAAGCAGCGTATATATTCTATTTTATTAGAGTTGTTGCTCTGTGATCATTTCCTGCTGGAAGGTAATTATTTGGCTCTGTCAGGTCTCTCTGGCTGGTATATAATAATAATAAACAACATTATTCAACACAACAATTATTCAGGTACAGTAATTAAAACACTGAAGCAGAACGAATTAACGAGATCAGACAGCAATAAGGTCACATTACCTGTTTGTTTCTAATAAATCGGACCATACCGTCACTCGAAAATCAAATAACAATTTTAAATGGCCTAAGGCGAGCATAAAGAATTACTTTTTTGACAAAGTATTCAATAGAAATTACGTTTATTCGTATTTTTTATTTTTCAGTTCTAATGATATCTGGTTCGATACTTCCTCGTCCATCCATCTTGGAAGTTATTGTCGACCATCCTTTTCTCTACGTCGTCAAATATAACAGATTAGTTTTATTTGTGGGTCGTATTTTTAAACTTAATTAACTTCCAGTGTGTGTGTATTTAAGTATAAGTGTTGAATATTAGTTCAGAACGAGATCAGAATTTTCAATGACCTTAATGTATTAAAGAATGAGCCAATTAGTTCTGATATTCTAGTTTGACTAAAAATTCAAAACGCGCTCAGTTTCAATGAGGCCAATGTAAAAATATATAACCAAATTGATGTTCCATGTAATTCAAGACTTTTCTAAATCTTTGACGAAATTCACTTGTCAATACATATACATAACTGAGCTCAGATAAGGGTAAAATCAATATCTCTTAATTCTGAAAGCCGTTTGTGACTTCTGAAACTAGTATGATTACTTATATAGACTAAGATATGTTTATTACCGCAATTTAAAACGTATATCTACACAGTAGAACCAATTACAAGCTTTTTGGACATTCAATAAAGTATTTTTGGTATTTTTCAGTTATTGGACGAACGTTTTCATCGCCGCCACCGGCACCCATAATGTTTAAATGTGACCATCCCTTCCTGTATATAATTAAATACAACGATATTGTGTTATTTTCTGGTCGAAATGAAAAAGTCTAAAAATTGCAATGAAAGCAATATGCTCTTATTCACTATTTTAGTCGCTATTGACTATAAATTCTTCACGTAGATTATCTTGTTTGTTAGTTATTATTGCAAAGATACATTTGTTTTCTTCCGTATTCTACACCATTCCAGCCTTCATGAAATAAATTCAAATGATTATTAATGTTATTGTTATTTAAGAGTCCTTCAACTTGAAATTGAGTGTGTTGAGTTAGTTATCGCTTTTAAAACTAAAGAGCTTAATTATTCGTTTTGTACACCGTGTGCCAAATAAAACGATTAACTATACGATCTATATTAACTATACGATCTTATTCGTACAAAAGTTTCTTGGACTCTCCTGACGATTTAAAATATTATAATTTTGTTGATACAGAGTGTCCCAAAAGTGTTCCCCACGAGATCATCTTTGATATTTTAAATGAATCACCCTGTATATTTCATCATTTTTTGAATCCTTGGTTAAAATAAAGGACACTTTCTTTGGAAATTCCTATTCGAATTTTGTATAGTTTAGGCAGAAATTGAGGTTAGGTTTTTTTTCTTCATATTTTGATTGCCTCGTATAAAATTATGTTGTGACGCTACTGATCTAGGTATTGCAACTAAAATTTAACCACAGACTAAGGAGATGATGAAGATGATCAGTTTGACAGATGCGCCTCAGCTTATACAGGGTGCCCCAATATCTCAAAAAGTAATTAAAATTTGAATATAACTTACTTTGTGTTTTGTCCTAGATTGATATTTTGTTAATTTAACTCGCCAAAACGGCACCACCTATTTGGGACACCCTGTATAAGCTGAGGCGCATCTGTCAAACTGATTGAGTAGTGCATCATCTCCTTACTCTGTGCTTAAATTTTCGTTGCAATACCTGGATCAATAGCGTCACAACACAACTTTATACGGGGCAATTAAAATATGAAAAACAAAACACATAACCTCAATTTCTGCCTAAACTATGCAAAATTCGAATAGGAATTTCTTACGAAAGTGTCCTTTATTTTAACAAAGGACTCAAAAAAATGTCGAAATATACAGGGTGCTCCATTTAAAATAACAAAGTTGATGTGGGAGGCGACACTTTTGGAACACCCTGTTTCGACAAAATTACAGTATTTTAAATCTTCAGGAGAGTCCAAGAAACTTTTGTACGAAACTGTTTTTCGTATCTCCTATGAGTTTCCAGATCATATACTGGATCGTTTTATTTGGCACACGATCTACATTCCTTTCGGGTATTTCACACAAGCAGCATAAGTATTGGTTAATTACATCAACGGTCCTTAAAAAGCAGTATTCAATTTTAAAACTTGATATTATACTCCTTTTCATTAAAATAGAGTTGCTGTGAGGTTGTCTCTCTCGGGACTGTTTTATATTATACTGTTTGTAAAAAATGGAGATCTGGCAGGTATATAAAATAATAACAACATTTACCAATTATGTATGCACTGGAATTGCCAAGGTCACATAGCGATAAAGTTACGTTACCTACTTATTTATAATAAGTCGGATCATACCGATTCATTGAAAAATAAAATAATAATTTCAAATGGCCTAAGACGAACAAAAAGAATTACTTTCTTGACATTTACATAGAAATAACGTTTATTCGTATTTTCAGTTTTAATAACTGAGAAATCTGGTTCGATACTTCGTTCTCCATTCATCTTGGAAGTTAACATCGATCATCCTTTTCTCTAAGTGATCAAATATAATCGACTAATTTTATTTCTGGGACGTATTTTGAAGTTTAATTAGCTCCGAGTATATTTAACGAAAAAAGACTTTTCTGAATATCTTACGAAAATCATTTATCGATATATACAAATAGTAACATATACATAAATGAGCTAAGTTATGGGTAACATTCATCTTTTAATTTTGAGATCTCTTTCTGGCTTCTGAAACCATTATCATTATACAGATTAACAAACATAACAAATCATAACAAACACTTTGGACATTGAATAAATTATTTTTGGTATTTTTCAGTTATAGGAGCACGGATTACAGCGGTGGAGCCAGTACAGCCTCCACCAATAATGTTTAAATGTGACCATCCATTCCTGTATATAATTAAATACAACGATGTTGTGTTATTTTCTGGTCGAAATGAAAAAGTTTAATGCTTGCCTATAATATGGTTATATTCATTATCTCACTCGTTATTAATTTTACAATTCACGTAGTTATTATTTGTTTTTCCCCAGGAACGGTCGTTTTATCCTTATTCTATACCATTCTGAATGTATAAAGTAATAAGGTAATTTTGTTTCTAGATAGACTTCATGGAATAAATTGAAAACTTTATTAATGTCATTATTATTTATAGAGTCCTTCAATTTGAAATTGAGTATGCTGAGTGAGTCATCGCTTTTAAAATTGAATAACTTAAGCAGATGTCTTTCATTTAATCATTCATGAAGTATTGAATTAGTAACGTTTCATCAGAAACATTTTCATTTCCTTCCGGCTTTTGAGTAAACGTGGAATCTGATTTCAATGATAACAAATACCTGGGTATTGCATAGAAGCGTTGCACTTTCTAAATATGATAAACCAACTGAATTTTTGCCATTGACATTTTTCAGTCCTGCATACAAGAGCTACTACTATAGAAGCATCACGTGATTTTACTGTGGACCATCCCTTTCTCTACCACATAAGTTCCAACGGGGTCATTTTGTTTTTGGGCAGAAGTTATCTTTAAAATAAAAGTGTGATTATGAAAAATGTTATTGCTTCAAAATTAAAACGATTCTTTACAAAATAGTTTTGTAATAAATAACTAAACTCAAATTAAATCAAAAATTAAATAAAAATGAATATGGAATTAAATATACGAAAGAAATAAACATTCTTGTGTGCAAAATTTTAAACATAAATTTGATAGAGCAAAAAAGTAAATCTGGATCATATCTAAAAAGCAGCTTCATGTTCACGACTCATATGTTTCGAATTCGAATCCATATTTGAAACTGTTACGCGGAAATTTGTTAACCTAATAACGTTAACCTTATTAGACTTGTAAGGGAAATTTTGATTTTTATTCTTTTCTTCTGGTACTTTAAGCCTATTATTTTTTTAGTGGGAATAACACCAACTACGATTCCTCCACCGCCAGTTGCAAATGTTACGATCAACCGACCATTCCTTTATAACATAAAGTTAAACGGGGTTATTCTATTTCTGGGTAGAATTTTATCCGTAAGTTAAGGTCTTCCGAAAATGCTTCAATAAAGTACTGTATGTTACTTTTGTGCGTTTTTGTTTTGTAATTTGGAAACCAGAATGAAGTTTCAAATTTCTAAGGCAAAGATTTTAAAAGAGAGATAATGTAATTTTGTGCCGTTTACAGAACTGCATTGGAAAAAATACTATTTCCCACATGAATTTCTTTTAAACTTCATGCACTTCATTTTAATGGATCATGTTTGTTTAGTAATTTAATGTTTTATTCGTTCAAAGCTTAGCAAGGCCTGTTTATAACTTTATTGGGTTTCATTTTATTTTGATTGCTGGTTTAATATTATTCTATCAGTCTGATAAAAACTCTCAGAAGCATGGACATAGTACTGAACAGTGTCTATTTAATGCCTATTAACTTCTAAGGCCGTGTGAATACAAGCTAGGTAGTGCTGCGACATCTGTTGCGGAGAAGCAAAGCCACAACCACACAGCCCGTGTTTTGCCACTTTGGTTAGACATTTCCTACAGGAACAAAAAGCACTCTGCCGATTGACTAACCCTGAATGTTTCCAGCCTTGTTAGGTCGATGGAGCAAGTGCGGCAATGTATTAAAAAAAAGTTTGGAATTGATTAATTGTTGTTTTGCAGGATTTATAAATAAATCATTCTTTCTGAAACTAAGAAATAAATATGGACGATAACAATTATTTACAATTTTGGAAGGTAAGAGTACAGATATCTAACCAGAATATCTACGTTTTGAAAAGCGCAGCAGTGAAAGAACGGGGCTATAGGAGAGGCCAAGGAAATAGCACCCCAAAAACAAAACATTTTGTTAATACCTGAAAATAGCTGTATAGCGGATAAAATGGGCTTTCATTCAGAAATCATTTTTCAAATATATTTTATAGTTTGCAGATCTTTAACATCCCAACCACAATTTTGTTCACCCATTTCGAGTGTCCAACAATTTTTTAAGCTTTAGTTTACACTTGATAACGGGTAGTGATACAACTGTCCGGAACGTTGTGTAAGTTAAAAATAAAGACAATGGAAGTTCGACATCCTTTTAGTATTTCTACTGAATCAGTGTCTACCACCTTCAAGCAATTTTTTCTTGATACATCTGCGATATGATCCCTATGACCCCAAGTTATGACATTGGGATTTTACTCAAATATTAGTTAACCGCAATAAACAAGCAATATTTAATTAAAATATTTTTGGATAGCTAGTTTGAAGTCGAACGTTGGTGTATGTTAAATTAAATTAGTTAATTAGAACCAGAAACATAATTAAATAAATTAAATAGAGATGTAATTTACTGATTTGAATCGGGTAGTGCCGAAGAAAATTAGTGTGGTTGAAAACCGAAGAATTTTGATTTGTTGTGCAAAAGGGAAATCATTAAAATGTTTGATAGTTAATCAAATAAATTTATTATTTTAATTATAATAAATTGTATCTTTCCATTCGTATAATACGATATTACCTAGAAGTGCTTAATTTTCTTTTTGTATATTTGATTTATAGTGAACAGTAAGCTTCTAGCTTAAACTTTAGCTTGCGCGCAGAAACATTTATATTTATATATTTAACCAAAATAAAAATTTTTGGTAAAC